GTCAACCTGGCCGATGTGAGCTGGCCCACCTTGACCCACTTTAAAAACGAGCTAACCTAACCCGGTTTACTTTTGATTTTTTTAAAAAAATTTTGGCCCGGTCCGGCCCACCACGAGTTGGTGGGTTATACGGGCCAGCCCACCAACCCACCAAAAATTAAAAAAAAAATTATCAACAAATTTTAAAATTTTAAATTAATTATAAATTAACATAATAGTCATAAAATTAACATTATTAATAGTCATAAATCATAATTCATCATACAAAATTAAATACAAATCATGATGAAAGTCTAAATTAAAAATTTTCAATATCCCTTCATACAAAATTAACTATAAATCATACTTAAATTTGGTTTAGCCTGGGGTGGGCCGGGTTGAGATATACCCACCTACTATAAAATTTCAAATTTTTTTACCCAGCTCGACCCGTTTTCAAGGTGGGTCAGGTTAGCTCATGGGTCCCGACCCACTTTGACGGCTCTACTTTTTAGATATATTTTTTCTTTATGCATTTATTTTAGTACTTATGGAACCGTTCGCGTTGTCAACAACACATAAAACTCAATTCTTGATATATTTTGGTATTTATTCGACTAAGTGATTTTTAGTAATGCGAGTTACATTTTTTCTGTATTATTAACGCGTGACCCTTGATCAGTATATCTATATATTAGGTCCTGATTTTGACAATGAAATGGAATATGTTACGAGAGGAATGCATATTTTGTAGGTATTTACGATTTTTATGAAAATTAATTACTATTTTTATAACAAATATTTCATATTAATATTATAATATATATATATATATATATATTATTTTTATTATTTATTTTAATTTTTAAGATTTAAATGCATTTTTGTCAATCAATTATTCTAATGGCATGATTTTAGTCTTTTATGTTTCAATTAAACGATTTTAATCAATCAAAATATGATAATTGTACACTTTATATAAAAATTTAATTGTTATTATTAAAGTGACACTAATAACAACATAGCAAATAATATGACAATGATGCAGGCGTTTAAGTGTTGGTGATATGTGAAAATAAGAAGAAAAATATTGTTAAATTGTTTAAATACGAAATTATAACTCACAGAGTTCTTGCATTCAACAATAACACTTAATCATTAAGTTAATAAATTTCTTTGATATATAAAAAACATTTTTCTATGAAAAACAAAATTACACACATTATTAAATAAATAATTATATATACTATTAAGGTTCGTTTGAAGGTCAAATAAGATAAAATATGATATGAGAATAGAATAAAATAATGGTAAGTAATGATAAGAACATAATAAATTTTAATTTTATAATATATTATTCATCTATTTGAATTAATAAAATAAGTATTAAATAATTTTTAAAATTTTTAATAATTTATAAGCATGATTTATGTATTAAAACTTTATATCTAATGGTTAAATAGTTGAAATTGATATAGAATTTAAGCTATTAAACAAAATAAATTTAAGTAGCCTTATTTATAGAGTAAACGAATTTTCCGATCTCTATATATACCTATCATAAAGGTTTTGGTAACCACCATTTTGATTTTCATTTTTGTATTGAACATTGTTATCTTTATATTTAAAAACACAAAATGTCTCTTTCTCTATTAGAACATACTCACTTTGATCTCCATATTTTTTAAAAGGTTAAAAACCTCTTTTGGTCCTTGATAATATTTTTTTGTTTCAATTTAGTCCCACTTTAATTTTAGGTCTCAATTTGGTCTCCAATAATTTAAATCATTGCAATTTGGGACTTCCGTCCAAGTGATTTAAACGAGGTTAACTCCTGCTGACGTGGATGCCAGGTGGATGCCACATAGATGCACAGGTGGATGCCAAATGTTATGAATACACCTGGAACCAGAACAGCCTGTTCTGAAACCAGAACGACCCGTTCTGCATGCACATGTTGTGTGTTAAGTTTGCAACTGGAATGAGTCGTTTCAAATGCAAATTTAACACAATATGAGTGCAGCAGAACGGGCCGTTCCGAAACCAGAACTGGTTGTTCTGCTGTTAGAACGGGCCGTTGAATTCAGAACGGCCCGTTCCAGAATGCCAACTCATCTTTTTTATTGTATTTTTTTTATTATATCTATATTAATAAAAATATAATAAAAAAACAATAAATTAATATTCATTTATGAATAAAACTAAAAAAAAGAAAAAGAATCAAATAAGATAAGATCTTCCAAAATACTTCTTTGATTTAAACTTATCCAGTTCAAAATCTTGACTAAAATGCCGCAGTGTGATTCAAAAATTGAAAATAAAAATTCATAATATATCATAAATTCAAAGACAGAAATATGGTTCAGAAACTGAAAACAAAAATTCAGAACATAACATATACTAAAAAAGTTCAAAGAAATTATTGAGAAAGGAAATCATCTGGGTAACGTTGAAGAGAAACCCTAAACCACAAAAATTCAGGTTGTACCTCCTCAAGAACAGGTTGTTATTGTTGGGGTACATCGTTAATGACTTCAAGAGGAAACACCGTTTCATTTCATCCTTGACTGTATAGTATCAGTTTGGTAGTAAGTGGTTCACTCCAGTTTGACTAACAATGAAATAAAACTTGTTACCATTGTCCTTAGTGATACACTGCATCGTCCTTAATGATATATTGTATAGCCTAAATATTTAGCAATTAAAGTTATCAATCCCCATTAATAATATTACCAAATCTAGTGTGTGAAATGCTTTGTACTTTGATTTTTTTTGCACGAAATTCTGGAACCAGAACGGGCCGTTCTGGTTCCAGGTGTATTCGTGTATTCAAGTATTTTGGGATCCACCTACGTGGCATCTACGTGACATCCACCTGACATCCACGTGGCCACCAGTTAACTCCGTTTAAATCATTTAGATGGAAGTCCCAAATTGTAATGATTTAAATTATTGGGGACCAAATTGAGACCTAAAATTAAAGTGAGACTAAATTGAAACAAAAAAATATTATAAGGGACCAAAAGAGGTTTTTAACCTTTTTAAAAATATTTGTACTCCTTTATCATATATTATTTTTTTCTTTCATCATATCTCTTAAAAAAAAAAATAAAAGAAAAAAAATAAAATAATTATTCTCTTACCTTGTGAGCGAACCACGCTTAGTATATTTAAGCTAACGCTATCTGTTGCAGATTTGCTTAGAAAATACCTTCACATGTCGTAACTGATGGGCAAAAAACGAAGGGATGGGCTAAAGGCCCAACTACAGAGAGCACATTTGAGCCCAAATAATAATTATACTTTTAACATTTTAGTTAATTATATAGTTTAAATTTACATGTTAAAATTATTATAATTATATATATAATAAAATGTTGAATGTAAATTATATAATATGTATTACATAATATATACATTTTAATATATAATATAATATATATATATATATATATATATATATATATTATTTCATATATTAGAATATACCAAGATTAAGACAAATAGGTAGTTGATAACAATAAATTTGTCTTATATATATATATTTTAAATTACTTTTCTCCCTTAATTTATGTTTATCTTTGCCTTAACCAATATCACTTAGTGTACAATCTGTCATGTTACTTCTCTCTCATAATTAATATTATTTATTCTCCTAACTAATTAGAATACATATTTTTAAAAAAAGTCTATAAATAATGTATCCCAATTCCCAACAAACTAAAAGAACATATTTTAATTAGAGATATTTTAATCTAAAAATAATTAATATATAAATACTATAAACGGGTCTTATATAAAAATTTAATAATTATTTTAATTAAATTTTATAAATTAAAACAGAGATAACATAATATAATAAAAAATTTAAAATAATGTATATGTATATAAAAATATAAGGAAAATACTTCTTCTTATAATCACTTTTCATCTTTATGATTTGTAGACCATTATATTTTGAATTATTAAAAAAAAATTATAATTTTGAGTTTTCGCCTCTAAAATGTAAACTTTCTCTCAAATTTCCTTCGATTTTCTTTCCAATCAAACAAACGAAAATTTAACATTATGCGTGTTTTTCCCCTTCTATTTTCCTTCATCCACTTTCATTTCTTCCAAAGATAGCATTACTCGTAGTTCAGTTATTTAGATGCAATTATCAATCCTAACCCATAAGGTGTTGGAGACTTGCATTCTGCTAAAGTAAACTAAAAACACTTTCTACATTGAATCTCAGTCCATCTGATATAAGACCCGTAGTATACTTTATGATTTCAATAATGCACTCATATATTTTTTTTTTCCCTTCTAATTTTAACTCCTTGTTGTCAAATCCAATATGACTCATGGAAAATATTTTAATCTTTCATCTTTTGTTAAAATTTGTTTTTAGTCCTTTAAAAACTGTTCGATTATAGTTTTTCATAATTTTTATCGTTTGAGTTTTTAATCCTCATTATTAACTTAAAAATTCATGTGATCATGTGACATTCACAATATGTAATTTTTCATTTTTTTTAAAATTGATATAATTTTCCGGAAGTTTCCCAACGATCAAAACAAATAAATTATGAAAGTTGTCCTCATTTGATTGAATAAAATAGTGAAATCTTATTTTTCAAATATTTTAATTTAAAAAAATTTCAAGCGTGTGGTTCAGCGGTAGAGGTTAATCCACGTTTAAGTAAGGTCAGAAATTCGAATCTTGTCTTGTGTATGCAGCCGTGTTAAATCTTGGGGGCCAGCTATTCCACTCTTTGAGGTGCCTCTAATGTAGCAAGGAGATTAGTCGCTGCTGTCGGCGGTGAATATTTCAGGGACGAAAAAAAAATTATTTTAATTTAATTTATTGTATAAGGATGGATATATTAAAATATTATAAGGTAACCCTCTGACGAGACTATGGTTTTGTTTGGGTCAGATTAGCCCAGCATTTGGTGAAGACCTGGGCAGGATATGTTGGGCCGAAATGGTAAGCCCAAGTGAAATACACGACGCAACAGAAACACAAATTGAATCGATTTCAATTTTCCAATCCAATCGAATCCAATGAATCCCCAAATTTGAATTGTAAACAGCGCCAACGCTCTTCATCGATGTGAAGCGAAGAAATGTCGGCGATGGAGAAACACTTGGTGCAGATCTTCGAGATAAAGAAGCGAATCATCGACCAGTCACGACAACAGTGCCATCTCTGGGAGCACCACCTTTTCCCTAAACTCCTTCTCAACGGAATTCCCCCTCCTCCATGGCTCTGCAACTCTTCCCTTCACGCAGATCCCCAAGGTAACAAACAGACCTAGGTTTCCGACTATTCAAACTTTCAAGTTAGGTCTCGCTCATTTTGCGCTTCGCATTTTGTTAGAATCATATGCTGTTATTCAAATCTAGTTATCATATTCGCGGAGAAATGATATTTATTTAATTTCATGTGATAGCAAGAGACAGTTTTATATAATTTGCGTTTGCGTCCTCTTACATATTGAGGGAGCTAGTTCCAATTAATTAGCGGTTCTATTGTAGTTATGTATGTGCCACAACATTGCGGCCAATAATCCTTTGCGAAATTTGGCCCTTATTTGGTGATAACGTTTTCTTTCGCTGCAGAGTTCAACAAAAATGATGTTGTTTCCGATGTTTTACTCTCGCAACCACAATGTAGTGTTCCTTTCCCAGGTGTATACAGCAATCTGGATGCTGTAACCTACGGTGTTCAGTATCCAATTGGTTTGCATAATGCAGGTCGTGCTTTAGAGAAGAACTGTGACGCGAGAGACAGGGTTTCAAATCTGCCTGATTGCTCTGTCAACAATGTTGTGTGTGCCTCATCAAGTGGTCCTCCTGAACTGGATTCAGTTGCTGTATCACCTCAGAATCAGATTGAAGCAAGAGCCTCAGACAGTCACCATGACCCAGCTTTGTCTCTGGCAAGGGTGCAGAGGTCAAAGTCAAGGCAGAGGGCTCTGGAGCTACGTAATAGTGCAAAAGCACTCAGACGATTGTCAGGAGAAGATACTGATGCCGGTGTCTGTGCTGGCACAGTTGCGGGTTCTGCACCCTCAACAGAACAGGCAGAGCATGTAATGGAGTCAATTGTGGTCATAGATTTTCATTCCAACATCCAAAGTTGTTCCAAGGAAGAAATGGAAAGAGGTGATTGTGTATCTAATTACTCTGGCCGGATTACAAGATCTAAAAGCTCATCCCAGAAATTCAACTCTTTGAATGTTGCTAGTTCATCTGCAGAGAAGGAAGATGGTCCTCCGCCTAATAATTTGAATGAGTCATTGGAGATAGTCAACCAACCTTGTTTCGCAAATGGAAGTTGTGTCATCAACGAAGCAAATAAAGGAGAGTATCAAAGCAAGGAAGCTGGAAAAAGTGTGTATGATGAGAGATTAACAAAATCTAGTAGTTCTAGCCAGGCAAGATGTAACAGTCAATTGTTGAAGGTTGACAGCACCTTGGGCAGTGGCAAAGGAGTTGAAACCTGTGATCTTATACAACCAATTACACATGCTGAACTAACAGATTTAGAGAAAGCCTCTGATTATAACAATGGAAATGAGAGGAATACAGTTAAAGATGGTAACTTATGCCTCAACAAACAAGAAAGTAACAGTCATGGCAAGATGCAATCACTAAGAAGTTCCTGTCCACCATCAGGGCATGATATTTTGATGACTGGTACTTCTGTAATGTTTATCTATAAATCAGCGCAATCTCCTCAACCTATAACTTCACAGAATTTACATGATCCAATGGTGTCTCATGTTGGGTCCTTCAGTAGTCAAAAGGATCCTGACTTTTGTGAAGTAAAAAGAAAAGAACGTTTGAGTAGAAGTGGTTCTGGAAAGGTTGAAAAAGTATTGAAATCTTCTGGATCCAATTTCTGTGAGCAAGGTACTGCTACCTGCTTTGAATCTGCTGGAAAGAAGTCTTCCAATTTACAGCCTACCAAATTGGATGCTACAAGGTTTTCTTCAAGTCCAAAGTATTCAAAATTAGATATAGAAACTGTTAGGGATTCTGCAGAGAAGGAGAACGTTGCAGCACTAGCTGCTTCTGGAAATACAAGGGCTGTGACTACTTGTGCAAATGAAGGATCATTAAGGCCAGTGAGTTCTTCCAATTTAGATGGCCGGTCTTTACTTGCAGAAGTATATGTTGAAGCAGTGGTGGATGAGAAAGTCTTGGATGCCCAAGAAAATATACCATCTGGTGCTTTTCCCACTGATAATGCTGAGCACAGACCTGCTGCGATTGTTGGTGAAGATAATGCTGACTCTGATGAATTAGTTGAAAAAGATCCTCCTTGTGCTAGCCCTAAGGTTGGGCTGAATGTATCAGTCTCGAAGATGCCTGCTGACTTTATGTCTGTGATGCCTAAGAAACTTGATTTTGATGATGTAGAAGAGACAAGTATGAACGGAATTTGTAGTCCTGATTTGAATGAAAGGCAACAGGGAGTGTCACCAGAAGGACCTCTGAACTTGTTGGAACCTGTCAATGTACTTGAAAAGGAAACTTCTCCTGTATGCCGAAGTAAGAGCAATTCTTTGGTGGAGATGCCTTCACTGCAAATGCAGGAAGTACTGATTGCAAAAGAGGGGCCTCAGATGGAATACCATTCAAACCACTTTAAGGAGGAAGATATACCTAGGACGAAAGTAAGTGCCAAGTCACTGAATCATCCAAGTCCTTCACAAGTTGCTAGTGAAAATTCATCAAGAAGTTTGTCAAAAGAAGTCATGCCAACAAAATTTGTTTCAGTAGACTGTAAACTTAAAAATGATGAAAGTAGTGCTAAATTGGCAGACTCTTCTTCTGAAGCAGTTACCGGAAATGATCTGCATAACTACGCAGATGAAAATGTTGCAAGTTTCACTATTGGGTTCCCATTTTCTGCTCCTATGGATGATGTGAACGTTGGTTTGGCACAACAGGTCCCAAAGAGCATTGCCTTGTGTCAAGATGGTGACTTGTTGCAGCAGGCATTGCTCAGCAATGGAAAAATTACTGGTTTTTCAACTGGCTTCCAGATTTTCAGAAGTTCCACAGAAAGTTTCACTTATGATGTGGAGCATTCATGTCCTCAGCATAAGAGAAGGAAGATTGAAAATGAAGCAGAGAAATTTCTGCCAGCCTCTTCAAACCTCTTAGAAAAACCATGTTATTCTATTGACCAAAGGCCCGTAAGTAGAAACTCTGAGGTTGCCCTAGAAGTTCTACATTTGCCATCTGATCGACAGGATGACATAGGACATCACTATATTTGTAACAGCCCAACGGATGAAGAGCAATACAATCGGGAATGCGAAACAATGGAAGACTCTTCACTTAAAGTGAGAAAAGAAGAGGTACATAATGTTTTGATTCACGTTCTGAAAATATTAAGATTAGTCTGCATAAGATTATTTTTTAAGAAATAAATATGAATTTTCTGCACACCTTGCACTAATGGAGTTGATGTTAAAAAAAATTCAATATCAATTATCAAATGGTATGCCAAAGAGTCTTGGTTAACATCTTTGAACTAACAATCATAATTATCATGCTGTGTAGCTTTGGTATAGACAGAACTAAATTTATTTTATTCCATGATTGTGACCTTTGAAAGCTATTTTAGATATAATTTATGTTCTGGAAAACAACTTTCTTCACAATTCCAACAAGATTTCCAACAATGTCTATGTGATGTTTCGAGGAAGCCTAGTGTAGATAGCATCATTAAGACTATTTATCATTCGGAGAAGTGAAAATGCTGAAGTTATAATTGTGACCCAGTGGAGTGAAAATGATGTAGCAAGACTTTGTTTGCTCGATCAGTTTAGGATTAGAGCCAGGATAGAGAACAAAGAAACAGAGGAGAAAGTGGGGAAAAGAGATCAGTTACTTAAGAATCCAAGGTTAAAACTCAATCTACATGTATTATGGCCTATCTTTGTTTTCTAAGAGTTCAAAAATGTAGAAGTAGGAAAAATGTTTTCAAGTTATCCTTAATTAAATTGAAAAGCACTACCCTTTAAAATTTATACGAAAAACTCTGAACTTGAAATAAATTCCCTGATTTAAGACAAAGACTGAGTCAAATAAAAATGAAAAGCAGAAATCCTAAGAGATGATAAAAACTCAATGCAGTAACTCTAGTATGCTACATAGCGTCTGTTGTTTGAAAATTGGCTGGGAGTAGATGCCATATTACACAGCAAATGAGCTAGTTGAAAGTTGAATTTATGATCATGCAAAAGTGATTTACTGCAGATAAAAAACAGTTTAGTGCTACATTTATATAAAAGAGGAAGCAGAAAGTGTGAAAAAGGATTGTCAAAGAGGATGAGGCGGGATACATGGATAAGAGATAGAAGTGATAATAATCCTATGTTGGTTAATAATGCAATTGAGTCTTGGCACATGCAAGAATAATTTAGGTTAGCTGTTTTAAATGAGGAATGATAAATTAAAACCCTAAGTGTAGAAAGCTACTGATATAATTTGACATTGATTCTTTAATCTGGGATTTCTTTCTTTACACGTAAGAATGGGACACTGACATTTTTTGATCCATGAAACCAATGCCATTTGATGGGAAAAGGCTTGATTATGGGTTTTGTACATGTATATTCTTTTCCAATGCATTACCTTTCCTTCTATAACATGCATTCAGCCAGAACTGCATCTATAATTGAAAATTTTGCAAATCTTACTACGCAGGAAAGTGAATATACAGATGTATGCGTAGGTTATAGCCGTAAAAGTTTCCTTTTCATTTTATAATAACTTTCTGAATAGACTATTTAAATGGGTTTTCCTGTTGGCAGAAACTTATTTTGGATGGAAGAGACAGAATTGAAGACACCCTTCGGTTGGCTGTGGCAAATCCACCTGGCATTAGTATTGACTCAATGATGAGATGCACCATGGACGAGAAGGAGGAGTCGTGCCATCACCTGGTTAATTGTGGACAAGAAAATTCAGAACTTGAGACTTTTGTTGAAAGAAGCACCTCAAGTACAAGAATTTATCCTGGAGAAAATGCTAAATTGTCAGATGGTATGTTTGCTTCTCCAGGAATGCAATGCTTGGATTTGGTTGGTACAGATGAGGCTTTACCAGAGTTTGAAGGGTTCATTATGCAAACAGTTAATGCACAGCCAAACATTACCGAAGATGAAATGGATTTGGAAAAGATGAATGTTCCAAGTAACTCAATAGATTATACATCCCTTGGTAAATCTAGGTTCATGCATTCTCCATTGTGCAATTCTTTAACTCCATATAAGTTGCATAATGTACCGGACATCTATCAGTCTTTACCTAATGGTCTTCTGGAGGGCTTAGGTGTAAGGAGTTCCATTGCTCTAAGTGATACGAGTCCAAGGTCCCGTTCTGATTGCCAACCAAATTGCAAGGGTCAGTATACTTCTTCAGTTCTAACTCTTCGGGATCGAATCTATTCGAACCTTGGCAGTTCAGGAAAGTGTAAGAGTTTAAAACTAGACCTTCCCTGCATTACTGAAGAAAATGAAAATGTAGATGAGATTGCTGGTACATTCCAAAGGGGCATTGCTTGTGAAGGAATGGTTGGCTCAAACATAAGAGCACCACTAGCTGAGATTGTAGATAATGAAAACCCTTCTACATCAGTTTTACAAGACGATATTTTAACAGGTGGACACGAAGATGTTGTAAGCACAGAGTTTAATCTCAGTGGGACTTGCAATAAGGTAAAAAATAAGCTTGACAAGCAGGATGGCAATAGGAAAAGATTTACAGGAAAGGGGAAGGAGAATCATAATATATCTCTTGGAGCGAATGGTGTCAAGAGGGCCACTGAATCAGTCCGCAAAAGGCCCAGTAGGCCAAAATTATCTGGAAAAGATATTATGAAACATGGCCCCATAAACAACATTGTATCCAACGTTTCTTCCTTTATTCCATTAGTGCAGCAAAAACAAGCGGCAGCTGTTGTTACAGGTAACTACTGATCTTATCTATTTAGTCACTTTAAAATAGGCATTTTAATTGCCTTCTTAGAGACTGAAATTCACTTTGATAATTATCCGAACATTACCGTTTGAACATGTAGGCAAGAGAGACATCAAAGTGAAGGCCCTGGAGGCAGCTGAGGCTGCCAAGCGTATGGCTGAGAAAAAAGAGAATGAGCGCAAGATGAAGAAAGAGGTGATGCGACTCGAGCGGGAAAAGTTGGAGCTGGAGCTGCAGAAGAAAAAGAAAGAGGAAGAACGAAAGAAAAAGGAGGCACAGATGGCAGCAAAGAAGCGACAGAGGGAAGATGAAGAAAGAAAGGAGAAAGAAAAAAAAAGGAAGCGTCTTAACGACATTAAGAAGCAGCAGCAAGAGCATGAGAAAATACGTGCCAAGAAAGAGGAGATAGAAATAGAAATACAATGCCGAGCCATGGTAAAATAATTTTTTCCCTCGTTTTCTCTCTCTCTCTCTCTCTCTCTTCTTTTAGGAAAATGCTAATACATGGGCTGTCTGGTCTAGGGTGAAGAAGTCCAAGTATATAAGAAATCTATGGATGAAAGAGAAAATCAAAAGAACATTCCAGTGAAAGACAGAAGAGAAGGCAATGTGGAGAAAATTTCTGAAAGTGAACCGTTGGTCATGAGGGATTCAGTAAATGATAAAACAAAAGAACCGCGTCCTGAATATTCGGAATCTGTGAATGATTGTGGTAATAATGAAAAGGTAATATTATTTTCTGTGGCACTCTTCTATGTCATCGTTAATATTCATATTTGGAAGGATTTCATGGTACTTTGGCCAAGGCCAGGAGTAATATTTTCCCAACTGTAAAAAATAAGTGCTATTCTTCTAACAATACATGAAACTTAATTTCTAGTCAGTCAAATAGCGCCAATGTTTCAATGCTATCTCATGTGATTTTAGCTTTGAAATCCTATAATTGCTAATCTTTAAAGCCACTTACTTTAGCATATGATGCTTAACAATTAATTGAAGTCGGGTTATATGATTTATCCAGTTAAATTTTTGGCTTTGCATTATACTCCCGTTAAATAATTTTTAGCTTCTTATGCTGATCAGAGAAGACAGACTGTTACGTAGTAAACTGTCATTTTGAATATTTAAATTTGTGTTTTGGACTTTATTTTTCAAAGATTTAAATGTACGTCTTTATAGGTAATGAAGAATTTGATTAAAGCTACTGAAGATGATGACTTGATCATCAAGAACTCACTTCAAGAGCAATCATACGAAGTGTCTCCGTATAGAGGTTCAGATGATGAAGATGACGATGATGATGACATGCCAAATAATAAGTTTATCCCTTCGTGGGCAAGGTTTGTGACTGTTCAAGTATTTGGAGCCTTTTATTTGGATGACATTTTTTAAGTTGATGTCTGGGGATTTGAAACACTTGGCAGTATATGTTGGCCATTTTTTATTTAAACTGAAAGAAGGAAAATAAGTTAAATAAAACTTTAACCCAAGAATATATGTTGCCTTAACATCATGAAAGTGATAAGATTACTGCGGTCTGGTGATATTAAATATTTATTGCTTGATGATAGAAAATCGTTAAAAATTTTGGCTTATCTGTTTACCTGAAACATTGTCTGGTTGCTTTCTCCAGTAGGCATAGCCTGTCTCTGATTGTTTCTTCCCAGGAAGTGGACCCGGAAACGATATTTCCTCCTCAAAGTTTTTGTAATATAGCAGAAGGTAACTCTTGAAAATTTTGAAGTTGTATATATTAGTTGTCTGAAACTAAGCACTAACTGAATCCTTTTGTAGTTCTCTTGCCACGGAGGCTTCAGTTACAGTAGCAGAGCATAGTGATTCAGTAACACGGGATCTTGTTAAAGGTATGCTGTCTCATGACATTATTTATGTTTGTTAGCATAATTAGGAATTCTGGAGGTCAATAATTTGTTTTAGCATTCTATCTGTTTGTAAACTACCCACATTGCCTGGTCTCCGAAGAGTCACTTTTTGGTTTCGAAACTCTGAATTTTTACACTAATATTCATTAATATGTATAATGCTTGGCCATTGAAAGATTAGTCCTTGACCTTGCGGCATGGTGTCCAGACAAAAAAAATATACTACGTTAAAATGAATAAGTTTAATTTTGACAATTGATATAATGATGATGCGCCAATACCAGAATTAATGACATTGTACTCCTGTATATCCACTTTAATTTTAATTGATCGATGAGTTTCACTTTTCTTTTTAGAGTATGGTTGAAGGTTTATTTGTTCTCTATTGATTTATTACTCTTTTGGAATGATATTTATTTTAAATTGATAATTGATATGACTATAAAATGTGAATGGAAATAAAAAAGTTGCTTTTGGATAATTTTTTATTATTATTAAAACCAGCGAAACAAGTTTGCAACCTATAGTTATCTGACAAAAGAGTTACTGAATACCGAGTCTGATGTTTATTTGTGGCAGATTTTCGAAGAGCTTCATTAAGAATTAAGATGTAGCCGCCAATAATGAAAAACTAGATCGTTTGATGCACCCTCAAATCTGATGCTTCTAACGATCCCCATTGTTGGAAGGACGTGTTGTTTTGTACTGTACAGTATCTGAAGTCATGTATATATAAGACATTTCCTCCTTGTCTCCTTTTTAACCCCTCTTGTCGCAATTTGCAAAGCGAGGAGCTGCTATCTTACAAAACGCAGAATTTGGATTACATCTGTATTTAAGCTTCCGTTAAAGCTGAGATCAGATATGAGGATGTCATAATATCTCTTTCCATTAAGATCTAAGTATTTAAAATTTAGATAATATAATGGTATTTTAAATTATTTTAAATTTAATGTAATAACATGTACAATTATACGGTTCAATTTTGTATATGTTGGATTATAATATATAAAAGCGGTGTAACTTATCTTTGAAATGTGCATTGTAAAAGTTGAAATGTCCAAACTCTTGCAGCAGAATAATTATTCTAAATCAAATGTAAGAACGGGGAAAGAAAACAGTTGCTCCTAGTTATAGAATGTACGATGATGTTATAGGTTGGTGGGGGTTTCTCGCTACTCAGCACCTAAAAAATCTGCAACGTTGTGATCGAGACAACATAAAAAATAAAATGGAATCAGCAAAATGGGTTTAGTGTAATAATATAGAACAATGATATATCCTCCGAAATTTTAATTATGATTGACGTTTATAATTTTTTAATTGTAAAATATAAGTTTTAATTAAAAAGAAAAAAGTTTTTTTAATTAGTCGGAGGATTATTCGGAATGTGCATTCCGAGCATATAGCATTTTTCAATAATATATTGTAGTTCAGTCTTTACTCTTTAGAAGTTAGGTAAATATCAGAGAAAGTGCTCGGTGCTATCATTTTCGTTGGAGTAACTCTAATAGTGTGTTTGAATGGAGGTTTAAATGGAGTAATTTATTTATTTGAAGAATTTCAAATTTTTTGAGGTGAAATACCTTGTTTGGATAGAGAATTTATAAAGAATTTGAAATTCAAGCATTTCTAAAATTCCTTGAAATATTAGAACTTCAAATTCTTCCAAAAAGTAAGAATTTGAAATTTTTCATATTTTTTTTCTTCTTATTTCACTTATATATTTTATCTTATCTCTTATCTCTTCATGTTTTTAATTATTGAATATTAATAATATTTTTAAAATTATAAAATATTATCTAATATTAATTGTTAAAATTATTAAATATTTAGAAATTAGTTAATATTTATTTTTATAAAATTTAATTTAAAAATCTCAACATATAAATATATTTTTAAAATCAATTTTAATGTCATATCCAATTCAACAATTTAAAATTTGAGAAATTTGAATTGACTTATCCAAACAAAATATTTTAAGAATGATAGAAATTGAAATCAAAATAATTCAAATACCAAGAATTTAAAATTTCTTGAATTTGTAAAATTTCTTGTCTAAACACACCATAATACAATTTATTATATTGATTAAGTTAGGCAATTTGAGTTATTGGAAATAAAATTAATGAGTATTCTTAAATCAACAAAGACTTAGTTTGATCTTTGGTTTAGTCATGAATGTACCACATTATTTTTAATAAGAGGCCATCTGTTGGAAAAAAGCTATACTTAATTAAAAAAAAATATAAGCTGACAAATTAAGAACTCGAATTTGTACATTGGATCTGCATTTTGGGTTTAGCAACATATTTAGTCAAAGAATGCATTGACAAATATAAGCTGATCTTCATAACACCAGTCGACTATTGTCCTCGTTTCAATGTAACAAAGGCCTCACTACGAAATCCATTCCCTTGAAATGAATTTCAGGCCCATTCTCCGGAAACATCTGCTGTACTTAAACGCCCAACTTAATTTCAGAAAACAACTGAAATTTCAGGCCTCACTACCATGCTGTGGACGTGCATCAAATATTCAAAAATGAAGCACATCATACTTCTGTAACAAATCTGACGTGAATCAGCGTACGTCGAACGCAGATCCAAACACATACTGTTCCCTTCGTACTTTACTACAAACTGAAAATCTGAAACCAACAATTTGCATCAGAAAAAAGTTCCTATGTCATATAAAACATGAATTGGTGATTTTTATACCCTAGAGATCACCTTCTGATAAAATTTTCTCCATCCACGTGGTTAGAAATTAATAGTAATATTTAATCATCGCTCCTCCCCCTTAAAGTCACTCAAATATGGTATAAGGATGCAGGAATGGAAGTAAAAGTTGGGAGTAAATAAAAGGGAATATATATCCCAACTTCACCAAAACTCTCCACAAGAACATAACCCATCCTTGAAGTGATGAAAACGGTTTGTATCTCGAACAACAATCTCTCTGCTTGTAAACTTGGAGATAAGTTTCATAAAAGTGTGGCAATCACCACAAATTCTGAGGTTTTTTATAATCCTTATTGGTATATCACTTGGCAAACACATCAATCCAAAGGTAACAGCAAGCTTCTCACTGTGGTGCCTCAAGAGCATCTGTTTCCTGCTCTCTTCAACATCGTGCAGGTCATTATTGGTATCAACCTTGTAATTCAGCTTCTTTAACTCTACCACCAAATTATCCAACTTAGCATAAATCTCTTCTATTTGTGGATGATTTCTCTCGCCAACAGTAAATGAATGAATCTTATTCTTAATTTCAATCCAACTCGTACCCCTCTCCTTCCTCATATCACTCTCTCTTATAAGTTTCCTCGCTCTTGCAACTTCGTCCCACTTTTTATTAGCTGCATATATGTTTGCTAGCAAGATGTGGTTTCCTGCATTGTTAGGTTCCATTTCAAACAGATGCTTGGCTGCAATCTCAGCAAACTCAATATTGCCATAAATTCTACAAGAGGCTAAAAGTGAACCCCACATAGAACTAGTTGCATTAAATGGCATTCTTTCTATCAAGTCATAAGCCTTGTGAACCAGTCCTGCTCGACCAAGAATATCAATCATACATGAGTAGTGAAGGACACTGGGTGAAAGATTGTGCTGTTTAACCATGAGATCAAAATACTTTTGTCCTTCTTCATGTAAACCCATATGACTACATGCATTTAGTACAGATACATATGTTACATCATCAGGAAAGAAGCCTCTCTGCTGCATTTTTTCGAACAAGATCATAGCCTCTAGCGCACAAGCATGTCTAGCAAACCCAGAAATCATTGCATTCCATAAAACAACGCTCCTAACCTCCACCACACCTTGAAACATAAGGTAAGCTTCTCTTATGCAGCCACATTTGGCATACATGTCTATAAGGGAGGAAACAACATATATGTTTGAACCATATCCAGACTTGTATGAAATGGCATGCACTTGCTTCCCTTCGACCAAAGTTGCCAGGCCTGCACAAGCACTAACAGCAGATGATATCATAAACGGGTCCTGCTCGAAACCCATCAACCGAGCATTGTGAAAAAGTAGCAAGGCCTCCTCATTAAACCCATTTTGAACGAATCCTGCCATCATTGAACTCCATGTAACAGCGTTCTTCTCAGGCATACTCTCAAATATCTGACTTGCATCTTTTATGGAAGAGCACTTAGCATAGACATGGAGTAAACCAGTTCCAACAAAACAATTTGAATCCATGGCAGCCTTAATTGAAAAAGCATGCAACTGCATGCACTCAAGTATAGCACATTTGAAGGCACACTCACATAGAACACTGGAAATGGTAAATTCATTGAATGGGGTTCCCTCTCTTTGCATTTGAATTAAAAGTGTTAGAGATTCCTGGTACTCTGCATTCTGGATAAGTGCTGCAATCATTGTATTCCACGAAACTAAGCTTTTCAGTGGCATTTCATTGAATTTTTTGCGAGCACTGCCAACTAAAGAGCATTTAGAGTACATGTTAATGAGCATATTTGACGTTAATATGTCCATGTCCAAGCCAATGCGAATAATCTGAGCATGGCATGCTCTTCCTCCTATGGAAGATCTTGTTTTTGCACATAACTGCAGAAGATAGTGTAAATTTGACACACGATCTATATGAACAACTTTTTCAACCATTAAGTGCTCTGGTTTGGCCTCAGAAAGTACTGATAATTTCCTAATATTGATGCCATAACAATCACAGAATCTCTCACACCTTCTCAGAAATACACAACTTAGCATTCTTAGCGTTAGGAGCAGTCACTTCCAACTCTAATAAAAACGGATCCTAGGGAACCAGAATCAGATTCAAAGGCAAGAAAGGTACACCGTACCAAAGGTGGACGCCAGAGTGGGAGAACCACGCCCACGCCCACACCGCTGCCCCTCAATCACCCTATTCATAATTCATAATACACACATATTTTAAATAAAATAAAATTTATAATAAATAAAATATTTTAACGTATAAATAATTTTCAATTTATAATGAATAATTTTAATTATAATAAAAATACTATTTTAAAATTAAAATAAATAAATGATAAAAAAATTAGCATCCAAATAAAGATAAAAAGAAGAAATTTGTAAGTTTTTTTTACCAGTATGTGAAATGTATATCTCAGAACTAGTATTTTACGGACTAAATATTTCTTTTATATAAAAAAAATTCAAATTAAGGATAAATTAAATGTTTGTTATATATTACTAAAGTTTATAATAAATTATATAGAAATATTATATTTTAAAATATTAATTATGTTTAAAATTTTTAAAAAATATTTTTAAGCATAAATAAAATTTGAAATGAACAATAAGTTAACAGAATTTATAAAAATTCTTTCATTAAAAAAATTCTAAAAATACTCCCATTAAAAAAAATTCTTAAAAATACTTTTCCACATCTTAATATATAGTGGATATTATTGAAGTAGACTGTAATTATATATATATATAGTGAAAAAATATTTATTTATTACTGCTATAGCGCTGTATGTAAATGTGTTAATTGTATTTAATTTAAAAATATTTGTTGAAATAAAAAGTTATTTTAATTATTTTCCAAATAACCGAATTGATATATATCAAATGAAATGTCTCAAATAAATTGAGTTTTCTTTGTTTCTTCTGTCACAATGTTGTTTTTGGTATGAAGGGGGGATTTCTCCTTTCAATCTCTGAGAACCTTGTGATATTTTTTGTGGTCCAGTAGAATCGTAGGAGTTGTTTTTTTCTTTTTTGACACCAAGAACCTTAGGAGTTAGGAGTTGTGATTTTTGGCTTATCCCTGATTTTATGAGGGCAGAGATAGTGTGATACGAAACCCCAGCTGATTTTGGGCCCTTTGGTAAGACCGGGCCTTTTCATTAAGTTATTTTCCAACTCAAAATTTAGATCCCAAATATGAAACAAGTACAGGCCCATATGTAGATTAATTTCGTAAGCCCAAAAGATACGCAACCATTAATCAGCTTGCTCCTACTCTTCCATCTCAGAAGCGAATCACAGTGCAGTGAGTGCACATTAAATCATCAGTCACTAATATGGCGGCTAAACTAAGTTTAGATGCACCTTCATCAGAATGTTTGTTCTCTTTTCTTTCTTAATTGCTCAAATAATGACATTCTACTTTCTACATTCATAAACTACACGAAAAGAAATCAAACCAAAAACTATTATAAAACATGTCATGGGGTGTACCTAAGAGAACTTTTGTCTCACCTCATCATTGACATTCTCCATTTCTTCTATTTGATTAAGAAAAAAATATATATATTACGGTTAACCAATGATCCACACATTTCATGCACTCATTGAGATCCATTAATATACGACACGTTAGCCTCATAATTTGTTGGCAAAGTGACAAATGGAAACAGGAAAAAGAGATATGTATATGTGCATTATATACAGAAACAAAATCAAGTGTGTGGACCTCACAAAGTTGAGTAGACAACTGAACCAACCCATTCAGTATCAGTCACACTGAGACTGAGTAGTAGTAGAAGTACTTGGTTACAGTCATAGATAGCATGTTGCTTTTATTTCCATTGAGAAAGTCTTTTCATATGATCAACCATATCTTAACTAACTAAAAGCTGAAGCAAAGAAACAAAACAAATACGAGATACCCAACCCATCATTCACTCATAACAAGATCTCTCTCTCTCTCTCTATCACACAACCTCAACCCCTTTTTCTATACACCTCTTTTTGGGATGTACTTTACACAAATGCAAAAAATATAATAAGACACATATGCAAGTTGAGGTGAGAAATCAATATATATATCTTCAGTGACTTAATTCTCTGATTGGCCTCTTGATAAGATGTTTTCAGCTGGTCCTACTACATGACAACTTTGTCGTCACATGTTGCATGAGGGCAGAAAAATCTTTTAAAATAAAGAAAGAAAAGGACTTGAAATTACAACTAGAGTAGGAGAATAACACATGAAGAGGAAAGAGAAAGAGTTGCATGATACAGGAATGGAACTTATTGATTTTCCATAACCAAAATCACATCACCAAGGGAACTTGAAGTGGGGCACATTATTATTACATTACATTACGTTAAGTAGAATATGAAGGGTAAACCGTAAACATATATTCAGCAACAGTGAGGTAAAGTGTTGTCATGGACTAAGTATATCCCAATGAAAATTATAAAATACAATATTTGCTTTTCATGCGTTCATTAGAAAACTGACTTTCGGCGTTGAACTTTGTCCTTTTGACCTTAGAAATTAGAATCCAAGTAGTGGAAACGACCAATTGTGATGGGAAATGAGAATCCATGTCCATTGACTGTATTATATGCTTTCAACACTGTTATCCAAGGACGGAGCTAAGGGGGACCTACGGGTGCCACGGCCCCCCAACAATTTTAATTTTTTTTATATACATATATATTACTATATGGCACCCCCTATTTTTAATATAAACTCATATGTATAATTAAATGAATAACCCAAATTTATTTTTTTATTCAACTTTTGGACTTCTGGTACGGCCTGCTATGTGGTATCACTTTGGAATTTTTTTTTTTTTAAAAAAATGTAGCGCCTCATTTGATCATTCCAATTCTCGGCCCCCCAGTATTGAAATCCTGGCTCCGTCC